TCTCAAAGTACGGAATTTTCCTTTCTTTTTGATATCTAGATGTGTTTCTTGACCCTCGAACACAATCCCGACTTAATCCCTTGGGCTTTTACTCAGACTTCAAAGCTTCAGATCACTCAAATTCATTTCATAACATCTACATAACTTGGAATCACTCCTATAAGGCATAAAACACATAATAAGTGAAAAACTCTATCAATTAAAGCTCAAACACAATAAAAGTGCAGTAACTTAGAGTGAAATAAGCGACTAAAATACGATATTATAGCCTACCATCAATGAACTCTCTTGCTTCTTTCATTACTAGGTTCATCTACAATACCATCAAATAATTTTTCTGTTGAAACACCAACCTTTTTTGGACTAACGTCCCTTGCAACCAAATCTTCCTTTTTAACAACTGGAGAAATTTTTGGCAGATCAATTTGAATATTATTTGACTTCTCTTTGTATTCAATAGAATCTCTATCACAATAAAAATTACATGTACCTTCTCTTCTTTTCTCCATTGTTTCTAAATTTTGGCCTTCTTGATTTATTTTCGTCATCTTTGATGTGTCTTCTTTTTTTTTTTGGTTGATCATCTTTTTCTTGTGATACCTCCTCCAATGTCTCATCTTTCTTTTGATTCAATGATATCTCAAATGTCACAAATTCACCTTCTAAATCATCAACTCCGAGAGTGCTAAGATCTTTGGTAGCTTCAAGAATAACTTTCTTGTTGCTAAACTTTAAAATTAGAGACTGCAATATTTTTTCAACAATTTTAACTTCTTCCAATACTTCTCCATTGGTCCTTACACCATCGACTATTTCTTTGATTCTTATAAAAAATTCTTTGATAGACTTTGTTGGTCTCATACGAGCCAACTCAAATTGACTCCTAAACTCTTGCAGTTTCTCCTTCTTTACAATTTTTTTTATATGACTTCACCAAGATTGTCCAAACCTCCTTTGATGACTTTGCATGCAAATGTTTTTTAGATACATACAATTCGACCTTAATGGCGAGATAGTAGTGTGCCTGATAATCTAAATGTCTTTTCTTCTCCAATTGAGTAGCTGCATCACCTGTCAACGTTGTGCCTTCTAGGGGTTCCTTAAATCCTTCATCAATGATGGACCATAATCCAATATCCTTAAAACAATTCTTCATCTGTTGATATCAAGTTTCAAAATTACTTTTGCCATCAAACACAAAAACGGGACAATTAGGTAATAGAGTATCCATATTTCTTTTGGATCTCCTACCGGCTCTGATAGAATCTCACACAGGCTCTGATACAAATTTGAAGGATTGAAATACCTCGAAGAATAATTTAGGCATGCACAAGCAAAAAATTCAACAAAGATTATATAGAAGAAATTTATTAAACTAGGGAGAGAACGTGATATGAGGGTTTTTCACAACTCATATAACTCTTGAATCTCTCTACATCATAGTTACCTCTCCACAATAGAAAATATGTAGTGGCACCCCTATTTATAATACTACAAATTAAATTTGACTAGAATCTAAAAAGTTTATTCATACATAATTTTGGCTGTGAATCCTAATTAGACATAAATTAAATATCTAGTAAATACCAAATCCTAGACGATGTAAGAATACGAATTAATCTTGATTTAATTTCCAACTATAATCGATACATGCAAGTTTCTTGAAGATTCGTCTAAGCGAAAACGTCACGAAAGAATGTACACACACTCTCAAGGCTGACAATTATATATATATATNTTGGGTTTTGCTCATATATCTGATAAGAACATATTGTCTCCCAATATACATACTATCCAACATTTTGTAGGTTCATATTGTGCACCCCTCGGGGCCAGAGAAAAGGATGTACAGAAGAGACAGAGCAACAAGAAACAACTACTGCTCTTATTTGACAAATCTTCTTTACTCGGTACATTAGTCTTCCTTGAAAATACACATAAAAAAGGTGTGAGGGGAAAAAATGTGCAAACCACGTTCGCACTCTTTTCTTTTTTAAGATCCTCAATATCTCATCCTTAATTTTGAGATAAGGGTTTTCCATTATTTTTAGAGAATCCCTACTCTCGTTGCCTATGCGCCATAGCTAGGTTAGCAATATTCTTACGTATATACAGAGGCGAATTCAAAATTTAAGTTCTATAAAATCAAATATATTATATTTTCAAAGTTATAAATTTATATCTATTAAATCTCTTTCTAATGAACTTTTATACAATTTATATACCGCGCCAAAAATACTAATTTCAGATGAACCCACTACTTTCAAATTACATTCGCCCCAATGTATATCTACTGTCTCTTGCAATTCTAGCGATCTTTCTTGAATTACATGCATGCATGCAATCCTACTACCGAATTTTGTAAGAATCGTTTCTGAAACTAAATCTCAAATCAAAATCGGGAAGAAATCCTGACATCTCTATATGTTAGAGGTAATAACACGTGCAACGTAAGGACTTCGTGTCAGAACAAAAACCTCAACAAAGAGGTGGTGGCTATCAATTTTATGGCGGCAATAGTTTGGATCAGGTATGTTTACCGAAAAAACGGTACAGTTTAATTTGTAATGTGATTTATAGACACGTAAATTAAATTGATTAATAAAATAAAGTAATAAAGAACAAAGCAATTAAAATATAAATAAATGAAGAAAATACAAGTCTGGGCTTTAGAATATTTCCGCCGAGTTCAGGAATAAATGAAAAATCTCGACAACACTTATAAAGTTTGAGAAAGAGAATACTAGTCTTTTGCTATCAGTATTTCTTTATGCTTTATAATAGAATGAAAGCCTCTATTTATACTAGAGCTATGAGGTGTATGATTATAAATTATGCTCGCTTAATTACCAATATTAATGCTACAATAAAAGGTAATTAAAGAGTAATAATAAAGAGTAATAAAAGGTAATACAAGCTAATAAAGGTATGGGTCTTCCGTAACGTTTCTACAACGGTCATATTTTGAACTGCATCTTATATACTACTAGAAATTCGGCAAAAATCGATTGTGGTGGACTAACCGACTTCGATCAATGTCAAAAAACGGCCGATCGGTTTTTTCAAAATATCTTTTTTTATATTTTTTTTACGAAACCGATCAACTTTGGTCGGTTTTCTTTGGCGCAAAAATGTGAGAAATTATTTTTGCTTCCCGCGAATTTGTTTTTCAAGAAACCGACCAACTTTGGTCGATTTTTCATTTAAAATAAATTAAAATTAATATTATAAAAACCGACTGATTCGACCAGTCATTTTAAAAAACCGACCGAATTCGGTTGGTAATTTTATTTTTTAATAAAATCGACCGACATCGGTCGGTTATTTTCGCCCAAAAATACAATTAAAGAGTATAAATGAAATAAAAGACAGTCTTAAAACAAAATACACCAATGGTCTAGTGGTAGAATAGTATCCTGCCACAGTACAGACCCCGGTTCAATTCCTAGATGATGTATTTTTTAATTACATAACTAAAATACCGACCGACTTCGGTCGGTTTTTTCGGCATATTGTTTTTTTTTTTTGGAATTTAATTGTCCGACCGAAATCGGTCGAAAAATACCGACCAAATTCGGTTGGTTAGCTCTACCGACCTTACGATTACCGACTGCCACGAATCGGGCGATTTTTGCCAATTACCGACCAACATCGGTTGGTTTTTCCCATTTTTTTAGTAGTGATCCGGCCACAAGTTTGTATCCGGATCACTACTGATTGATCATCCTTGACACATGTTTCTTCCTAATTCACTCACCTTCTGAGACCGAATTTTATCGTATACACTGTATACTTCCTCCATCCTAATTTAAGTGAGGATATTTGATTAGACACGAAGTTTAAATAAAAAAACTTTTAAAACCTATGATCTAAAATGAACTATAAATATTTGTGTATATTTTTCTTGACGGACTAAAAAGAAAAAGTATCATGCTTCGCGTTTTGTGTTCATATGTTTTAGTGCCTTTAATTTGTGGTCAGAAAGAAGGAAGTTATGCCCTACTGCAGGGGCTTATGTAGCATGTTAGTGACGGGTTTAATTGAACCCATAATGGCTTTCAGATAGTTTCTTTTGAAAAAAGCAGTCCAAAGTATGACTCCCTCTTATTGACCAGGCCAACTTTCGATGTGAAGCATAAATTTGTGTGTAAAAATCTATTCAAATTGCAACAAATAGTATATATGAACCAATAACTTTAAGAATATATTGGGTTCAATGCTAAAAATCTTAAAGGTTGAACCTATAAAATTTAAATCTTAAATTAACCTCCGCACTACTGTAATATATCATGTGCTTGCATGTAACTCAAGAAAGATGCAGACTATTTAATTTCCTGTACGACCTGGCCAATCGTTTTAAAAAGTTGTAGCCCTTACTCCCCTATGTATTGTTCATTCTGTGTTTTATAAATGTTATGTAACTTGTCGGGTAGTCGGTTCGGGTCCGGTGAGGTTTTGAAATGAATTGGAACACTTAGTTTCAAGTTTTAAAGCTTAAGTTTAAATAGTGACCGGATGTCGACTTATGTACAAACGACCCCCAAATAGAATTTTAATGATTCCAACATTTCTGTATGGTAATTTTGGACTTAGGGTCGTGCTCGGAATTGTATTTGGAAGTTCGTAATTAAAATAGGCTTGAAATGGCTAAAATAGGAATTTAAGTTTGGAAGCTTGATCGGGGAGTTAATTTTTTGATATCGGGGTCGAAATCCAGTTCTGAAAATTTTCATAGCTCAGTTATGTCATTTATGACTTGTGTGCAAAATTTGAGGTCAATCGGATTTGATTTGATAGGTTTCGACATCGAATGTAGAAGTTGGAAATTCTTAAGTTTTATTAAGCTTGAATTGGGGTGTGAATTTTGATTTTAGCGTTGTTTGATGTGATTTGAGGTTTCAAATAAGTTCGTATGATATTTTAGGACTTGTTGGTGTATTTGGTTGAGGGTCCGAGGGCCTCGGGTGAGTTTCGGATGGTTAACGGATCAAAAGTTAGACTTAAACAGCCGCTGCAATTTCTTCTGCTGGAAATACAGAAATCGAGCCCAGGATCGAAGCATAGAGTCGAGGGCCAGGATCGAAGGCCAGGGTCGAGAGCCAGGATCGAAGCCAGAGTCGAGACTCAGGATCGAAGGCCGGAATCGAGGGCCATGATCGAAGGCCATGATCGAGGGTCAGGATCGAAGCTATGATCGAGGCCCAGGATCGAGGGCCATGGTCGAAGCCTTGATCGAGGGTCAGGATCGAGGCAGGACCGAGGGCTGCCTGGACAAAATTATAAAACAGGGGACTTCGTCTCATATGCCATTTTTGACGAATTGGAGCTTGAGGAGAGGCGAGTTTTGATAGATTTTCAAGGAAAAATATTTGGGTAAGTGATTCTAACTCAGATTTGGTCAATATACACAAATATATCATTATTTTCACTATTTAATTAGTGTATTGAGATGGAAATTTGAGAAAATTTTATAAATCTCATAGAAATGAATTTTTGAGATTTCGGTATCGATTCGGAGTCCGATTTGAGTGAACCTGGTATGGTTGGACTAGTAATTGAATGAGTTGTCGAATTTTGTGAGTTTCGCTGGATTCCGAGACATGGGCCCACGGGCGATTTTTGAGTTAATTTTAGGTTTGTATTGAGAAATGTAGTATATTCTTATGAAATTGATTCCTATAATTTTTGTTGACTGTATCAAATTATTTTGGTTAGATTCGAGCTATTCAGAATCGGATATTCGTGAAAAAGGCATTCTTACCGATTGATTGAACTTGGTTCGAGATAAGTGACTTGCCTAACTTTGTGGGGGGAACTCCCCTTAGGATTTGGTACTATTTTATATATGTGTGGCAAGTACGTGATGTGACGAAGGCCTATACGGGCTATTTGTTGAAAAACTCCCTTTTTCATTGAGCAAAATATTTGTTTTCCTTTAATTGAGCTACACCGGCATATGTAATTATCCTGTTTAGTTTAGAAAAGCATGCCTACGTGCCTTAACTGCCTTAACTACCTATCTGAACTCTGTGCAGCATGTCGTAGTGAAATTTCTTGTTCTTCCTTGACTCAGACTTAGCCTAAATTGTGGTTTCCTTGCAGTAACTACTATTTCTGTTGGATGAGCTACATATTTACTTTGGGACTACGGAACGGTATTCTGGGTGTTCATAGAGGAGATTTTTCAAGTTTCAATCATATATGATATGGTACAACAGCTTACACTAAAATTGGTCCACACTGAAACTCATGTGGAATTGCTCTTAACTCTAGTGTATGCAAAATGTGATTCCATTGAGAGGATTGAATTATGGGANCCCGTAGGATTTGTACTGTTTTTGATATATGAGCATCGTGTACGTGAGGTGACGAGTACGTACACGGGCTAATTGTGTAAAACCCCGATTTTTCTACTATGCAATAACCTGATTTTCTTCTTATTTGAGTTCCATCAGAATGTGTGGTATCCGGCTAGACTAGAATAGCATGCCTACTTGTCTTAAATGTTTACTTGAACTATGTGCAGCATGTTTAGTGAATTTACCTGTCTTTCCTTAACTTGTACTTAGGTTGAACTGTAGAATTTCGTGCCGTAACTATTGAATTCTATTGTTTGGCTGCATATTTACTTTGGGACTATGGAACGGTATTCCGGTAGATCCCTATGTATTACATATTTACTTTGGGACTACGAAACGGTATTCCGAGAGATCCCCCTGTTCTGCACATTTACGTTGGGACTAAGAGACGGTATCTCGAGAAATCCCATGTTGTTATATATGTGTACTGAGTTATTGTCTTCTATGATTTCATTCTGGTTAAATTTCAGTCTTTATTTTACTGCGGGATTTCATTTTATCTTGTGTTATTATACATATACCAGTAGGGACTTGACCTGACCTCGTCACTACTCGACCGAGGTTAGGCTTGGCACTTACTGGGTACCGACTGTGGTGTACTCAAGCTATTCTTCTGCACATATTTTTCATGTGCAGATCCAGGTACTCCTTATGAGTCGCACTATCAGTGAGTAGGGACAACTTTGGAGACTTCAAGGTATATCTGTCGCGTTCGCAGACCTCGGAGTCCCCCTCTACTCTTTCCCATGTCCATTATCTTCTGTATTTTTTTTTGATAGACTCTGATGTATAGAGACACTAGATTTTCCTCCTGTAGTTTGTGATTTACGATGTTCCGGATTTTGGGAATATTGTGTAGTATATTGAAAAGTTAGTTGTTAAATTTATATTTTTATTTCATTTATTCCGCAAAAATATTAGGCTTATCTAGACCTAGTCATAGGGTCTAGGTGCCATCACGACGTCATACGGATGAGAAATTGAGTCGTGACAATTCGATAACTTGATCACCATATATTATAGTATACATTAAGAATATTGCTAACCTATGGAGTATAGGCAACGAGAGTAGGGCTCCTTCAAAAATAATGGAAACCCTTTTCACTTGACACATTTTATGTGTGGATTTTCAAGAAGACTCACGTGTGGTCCTATTTCTATTCATTGGTCCTATATCCTATTCTCTGTACCGAGTAAAGAAAGGATTTGTCAAACTAAAGCCGCATTTCTTTCTTGATCTCGCTTCTCTACATCCTTTTCACTTACAAAATTGTTCACTAAGTGCAAATACGTCTTGAGATCGTGACACGTGGCAACATCTCCAGCTTTGCTAAATTTAGAGTCTTTACTACTTAATCTAAGTTCCTTGCCAACCTCAGCATATACCCATTGTGTATCCTCCATGCATCTTTGAAGCCAGCTTGGCAGCCCTGTTGTCGCCACGTGGGCACTCCCTCTTTCTGCCACATCATCGTCTCCGTCGATCACGAACCCCGGAACTTTTGTAATTGGATCGTCGGAGTTGACAATGCGGAGAACATTTGTACCACTTTTCTCCAATTGGCATCTAAAACTTTTGTTTCCTATCCTAGGCCCTCCAAATGATACAACTGTTACTATTGGTGCGTGACTAAATTTTGTAGTTATATCGTACGCTGTTAATGTTGCAAGGGCAGCTCCAAGACTATGGCCTGTGACAGTTATACTTAATGGCTCGTCATTATACTTATCAAGAACGTTGCCAATTTCTTCTCTAATTGTGTCCTGCAAACTTTGATCACATTCGTTTTTTGTTGTGTACAAGCTCAAGAATCCACTTTGTACCATGGGTTGATCGTAATTTTCCGGTGCCATGTCATCTGGTAAAGAAGTTAACGTGGCACGTAAATTTTCGAGCCATTCGCATGAGGTGGCAGTGCCTCGATAAGCAATCACCACGTCACGACGCCCAAGCCTAGCGATCTCTTCCTCATCTTCGCAAACTGCCACGTAACCAATCCAGCTAGAGCACGGGGATGCTAAATTCGGGAACCTTTTAGTCCAACTTGGCATTTGAACTGCACACGTGGCATAAAGGTTCTTGATTACCTTATATCCGCTCGTGTCTAGTCCGCAGTCTGTCAGCATCGAACTCGTAGGATAACGACATGTGGCGTGCGTGGGTGATGACACGTCAAAGTCGAAGCAGCGATAGGCTGCTTCCACAAATTCCCCGTACCTTAAGATCTCCTTGCGGAGATCATCGTCAAGTGGATCAAGCAAACCTTCCCAATTCTTGATACCTTGGAATTCCATCCACCGGTGTCGGAGTTCAGCTGCTCTGTCTCCGACAGAGCAGTGACCCGACCCTGGGTTCCACGAGCTCGTGATCCTGAATCCACGAGCACTCGATTTTCTTAGTGTAGAGCACCTTGAAGTAGGAAGTGCAAATCCCAAATGCTTTTTAGTAAAAAGCAAGTTATAATTTGAGGAGTGTATTATGTTGCAATTTGATTTGAAATTTCCAGCTAAGAGCCTCATGTTTGTAGGTAGTTTTTAAAGATTCTTGGAGTGTGGATGATGAGGTTCTTGCACTTCACGTAGTTACATTTTGGCTTCACTCAAATGATAGTATTTATAGTTATAGAATGGAACTAAACTCATGCTAAAAGGGTATAATAATGGGTGGTGGGTCAGTGGGGAGAATGTAATGAGGGAGAAGACTATAAGAGGAGATTGGAGCGGACGGTGCATTGATTTTCATGGGATAGGTTGTAGACTAGTTAAGTGGGGACAAACTGAGTTAGCAACTGAAAAACGTTGGTTGAGGACTTATTTTGCAAATTTTCTAGATTTTGGTATTAGAAATCCCCCTAAGATAAAAGAGGAGGATATAGAAGCAGATTTAGTTGCAGATAAGAGCGAGTCTACCTGCAAATAGGGGTGTTCATGGTTCGGTTTGAATCGATTTTTTTTCTAAAAATAAATCAAACCAAGTAAATCGATTTTTCAAATATTGGATCCAAGCCAAACCAATTAAGTCGATTTTTTATAGATTCGGTGTATATCGGATTTTTTCGGTTTTTCGATTTTTTCGGTTATTTATCGATTTTATCTTAAATATGAGACATACATTACCAAACACATATTCAAGCAATTATATTTTCAACATAACATCACCAATTGCTCTTTGAGAAATCTATCACTTATCAAGATATATTGATGATAATTGAACCAAATAGTGATGAATAATTTTAGGACTCAATTATAAATAAATTATTTTCAACATGAAATAAATTCATGTACCTAGCGACAGAAAACTATTAATCAAACTATAATGTAAAGGCAAAGAACTAGATTATTATAATAGCAAAAAACTAGACTAAAAGTGCAAACTATTAAAATATAACATTAAATTTTAGAAACTTTGTATAACAATATACATATATATATAATAAAAAAATTTAAATAGCTATTTCTATATTCGGTTTGGTTCGATTTTTTCTGGTTATTTTTTTATTACAATCAAAACCAAATCAAATTTGGTCGGTTTTTAAAATTCAAGACCATAACCAAACCAAATCGTAAAAGGATCGGATTTTTTAGTTGGTTTGATTCGGTTTTTCGGATTTTTATGAACACCCCTAAGAAAGCATACATATAACGCCCGTTTAGATTGACTTAAAAAAAAGTGACTTTATTTCAGCAGAAATAGTTTTTAAGTCAAAAGGCAATAAGTTGGGCTTGCCCAGTATATTGCTTTTGGCTTATTTTAAGCAAGTTTAACTTACTTAAGCATTTTTTAACTTTGCCAAATATTAAAAAAAGATAAAAAGATCTTAAAAGCTTATTTGACCAGTTTAAAAACCAATCCAAACATCCTCATAGAATTTGTCATATATACTTTCATTTTATGTGGTGAAGGCTGACTAGGTACGAAATTTTTAAAAAAAGAAAGGACTTAACAAATACTTTAAAAAATATTATTTTGATCTTGTGAATTGAAACTCATCATGACATTTATAGGTCACGGGTTCGAACCGTAAAATGAGTTATTAATACTTGCGTAAAAGTAGGTTGTCTGCATTATACTTCTTGGGGTGTGACTCTTTCCTAGACTCTGCATGAATGCGGGATGCTTTGTGTATTGAGATGCCCTTATCATTAAAAGCTAAATAAAAACTTTATAGTTAAAGAGTTTCGAAATTTGATAAAGTGTTACTCCCTCCATTTCACGTTGTTTATCGTAGTTTTACTTAGCACAAAGTTTAATTAAAAAAATATTTTGAAATTTACGATCTTAAATATTTCATAATATTTATGTGACTATAAAAAAATTTAAACTTGTGATTTTAAATTTGTTGTAGCATCTGTATGAATATAAAAATTTCTAACTAAAGAAATATAAAAATATATTATTTTAGAACAAACTAGTAAGGAAATATAAATACACAACAAAGTGAGACGGAAGAATATTCTTATTAAAATGGACAAAAAAAACAAAATACATCAGTTTCCTATAAAACATAGATGAGTATGAAAAGGGAAAACTAAAATAGAAGAAAGCTGAGAAAAAAGAAAAAAAAAGATTGACCTTCAAAATCTTGACATATGTTGACCACCAACCAATTACGTACACCAAAGAAGAGTAAACGAAACGAGTAGAGAAGAGTGTAGTGAGTCCGAGTGCTTCTTTGGCTCCGACCATATTGGTTGCACGTGCGTTCACTGTACGCGTCCCCTGTAGTGATATTTAATTTTACTAATCCCATATTAAATTTGAGATAGTTTATCTCATATTTGGTTGGGATAAAATCACAATTAGTTATTCCGGAATTGCAATATTTTTTTATTCTAATGGAAGGGTGGGATAACTAGTTTTAGGATAAATAATACCGGGATAATTAATCTCTCGAAATAATTTATTTCCAACCAAACGACCCCTAAGACCATAGTTTTAAAATTTATCTACATTCGATATTTACATCAAATTTTAAAAAAAATAATCTAATGCATGAGATATTTCGTGTTCACGCAGGGTCTAGAAAAGGACTGCACCTCATGGAATGTGATATAGGCAGCATACCCTAATGTAAGTATCAATTGGCTTGGCTAATTCTACGGTTGAAACTCTTTACCGTTACTCTAAGACTTTTCTTCATCAAATCAATAAATGTATAACATATTTTGATGTAAATAATGTAAATATTAAGTGCAGGTAAGTATTTATCCCCTCACAACTCTCCCTTTAAAAACCAAATTGGGGGTGGGGTTGGGGGTTCATGGTTACGAATTTTGTTTTCATGTATCTTTAACCTCAATGAAGGGGAGCCTTGGCGTAACTGGTAAAGTTGCTTTCATGTGACCAAAAAGTCATGGGTTCGAGCCGTGGAAACGGTCTCTTGCAGAATTGTAGGGTAATGTTGCGTACAATAAACTCATGTGGTCTGATCCTTCCTCGGACCCCGAACATAGCGGGAGTTTAATGCACACGACTGCCATTTTTTTTTATTATCTTAAGGAAAAAGGCCCAAAAATGATCTTGTGGTATTCGAAATGGATCAATTATAACCCCCGTTTAAATTTGAGTCCAAAAATGACCCTGCCGTTATAAAATGGATTTAATAATGCCCCTGTGTTATTCAAAATGGATCAATTATAACCCTCATTTAAATTTGAGCTCACTAATGACCCTGCCGCTAAAGAATAGGTCTAATGCTGCTATTTCCCTCAGTCAGTAATGATTAGGGGTGTAAATGAATATTTAAAAACCGACTAAACCAACATAATCGTACCGTGCCGATTTTTAGGTTTTTTTTTAATAAAACCGTATATTTTTATATAAATCTATAACTGTACCGATAATTATGGTAGATTTTTTATTTTATAAAAATAAACCGAAAAAATATTGAACCGTCAAATTGAAAAAAAAAGATTTTGCAAAATATTTTATTTTTTTAAAACTAATGCATATGTAGTCCACTGCTTTAGGAGAGTTTTTTTTCAGTTTTTTTAAAAAAAAATCCAGTTTTTACAAAAAAAATACTTTAAAAAAACTGAAAAGACTTAAAAATATATATTTTGCAAATTCTTTTCTTTTTTTAGTTTTTACAGAATAAATATTTTTCAGTTTTTAAAAGTATTTTTAAAAAAATATTTTTTTTCCAGTTTTTACAAAAATAAATACTTTAAAAAAACTGAAAAGATTAAAAATATATATTTTGCAAATATTGAACCGTACGGTTCAATATTTTTTCGGTTTATTTTTATAAAATAAAAAATCTACCATAATTATCGGTACAGTTATAGATTTATATAAAAACATACGGTTTTATTAAAAAAAAAACTAAAAATCGGTTCGGCACGGTACGATTATGTCGGTTTAGTCGGTTTTTAAATATTCATTTGCACCACTAATCATTATTGACTGAGGAAAATAGCAGTATTAGACCCATTCTTTAATGGCAGGGTCATTAGTGAGCTCAAATTTAAATGAAGGTTATAATTGATTTATTTTGAATAACACAAGGGCATTATTAGACCCATTTTATAACGGCAGAGTCATTTTTGGACTCAAATTTAAACGGGGGTTATAATTGATCCATTTCGAATACCACAAGATCATTTTTGGACCTTTTCCCCTATCTTAACCTCAACATTATATTGAGTGTAAGTTCTAAGTATAGGGGATATAAGAAAATATTTACACAATCAAATCATATTTAAAGTAATTAAATCTATACGATAAGAAATTATATTGATATAGAAAAAAAATCATAATTAGTATATATATAATTTAAATTCTATTTTAGGAAGTACTAGTTAACTGACATTTGTAAGTAAATGTTTAAAATTTTAATTATTCTGTTTTCTTAAAATTGCTAGGACTTCCTTTATGTCTTTCCCAAAACTAACTATCTATATTATACTAAAAGCATGAATGCTCTTAACGAAATGTTCACCTTTTTTGTCCTTTTAAATTTAATTTCACATTAGGCAAAATAGTTATTTAATTATTCTAATTTTTATTAAGACTTTAAAATCAACTAAAAATCTTGCATATTAAATAATTACCTTATTTGAACTACTAGGTAAGAAATTCTAATATTTAAAAATTAAATATTAATTAAAGATTTACCTTATAGAGCTATAAGATAAGCATAGTACTGTAATTAAGTAATATATAAAACCCAACATAGAAACTTCCGATAACTTATACTTTCTTTATGGTGTTGAATCAAACGGTAAATAAGGAATTGAAAGAATTAAATCAAATTTGACATTAGTCTTGTTTATTATAGGTCCTCTGTAATTTTTCTTCTTTTATTTTTTGGACTTACCATGAATCCATGACAAAGAATAAATTGATCAAATATTTTATGTAAAAA